GCTATAAAGTACTTTTTTGTTTTGTCTAGACGAAGTTAAGGAAAACGTTTGCTGATGACGTTTAACATCATTATTTTCACAAGTTTTGTTTCACGCTTTTGTTTCCTTTATTATTCAATTGTCACATAGTACTTTGTTATAGTTTGGAACACAAATAAGTGAAAATGAGCACTCTGCTGGGGATCACAATTTTATTTTTCCTGTTGAAAACCACTCATAGCGAATTCCCCTAAAAATCGGGTATCAGCTGTTGTCAAAAGAAGTTAGGGTTATATGCCGCAATATGTTGCCACTTATTGTTTGGTTCTAATTTGGCAGAGCAAAATAACGGTGGCTGAGAATAGATTCACCTACTATATAAAATACAACTTCCAAATACGGATCCCGTCACATGATTTATAAACGAATATTTTCGAATCAATAAATGTAGCATATGTTTTCTTGCTGACACCTCAAATTGAACATTATCAGATAAAAGGCTTTTACCAAACCAACATGGTTAGTTACTGATGTTTTTTTTTTTTTCAATTCTTCAAATGCAGTAAGTAGGGAACATAACGTTAACTATATAGAAAAATGAAAGATATAAATTAAAAGTTTCCGTGATCCAAATAACAATATTGTTGGCAATGAGGCATTATTTCATTGAAAAAAGCTTGCGAATCCGAAAGGCAATAGTGTTTCCTTCCAAACTCGCAACCTGCTTAGTTAGAAAAAAGGCCACGCTTATATTTTCATCCTGTAAAGTCATGTTCTCATATTGCCAATTCGATCACCGTCGCTATCATCATATTCAAAATGTTGCCGTATTTATGCAACACATCGTTTACTTGTCAGGGCGAGAGTTTTTCATTTTTTTTTATTGGGCTCATCATATAAGAAGTTTAGGGCACACACCTGAAATCAGCCCAAACCAGCAAAATAACTATGACAACCTGTCAAGTTGATAAATTTTATTTATAGTTTTTCAATACTCTACAATGGATATCATTATAATAATTTATTGTCAATAGTGTTTAAGGATGATTTCTAGTTTCTTATTTTTTTGCAATAGCTTTTACATTGACCCTCGATAATTTTACAGAAGTCCCTAGTTGCAGTTGCATTTTTATCCGAGCTACACGACATTTCCTAAATGAACAGATGACGTTCTGCATCACACAGTAAAACACTATGGATAGCTTTACGCTAGTTGGCTATCGATAGTTGTTCGATATTCGACTATAAACCATTTCACGATAGTCGACTATCATTAGTAAGCTATCAAGTTTCACGATAGTCGGTATCAATTGTATATCCTCGATAATTTTGCGATAGTCCACTATGGATAGTATATTATCGGTAGTATACAATTGATGCTTATATCGATAATTTTCCAATAGTCGACTTTCGATAGTACAATGGATACTTGCTTTTTTTTTTCACTATCAGTAGTTAAATTTGAATTCGACTATCGATAGTATCAATAGTACTATCATAAGTCTCGCACCGCTACGTGGTATGCCTTTTTCTGAAGGCGGTTGTTCACTCTAGAGCTTTCCCGCAGTAGAGTGGATCACGTAGGAGAAGCGACTCGTTCAGCGAGGTGCTGTTGGTGTGTGCGTTGCGTGTGAACACACACACACAAAAGAGCACCGATGTTTTGTTTATGTGGCAACTGTAACGTGCATTCAGATGCGAAGCAGTTCACGTCTGTTCACATAGATATGATGCGCTGCAGTATCCGGGTTAACGTCGCTTGTCAAGGAGTGCGACACCTGGGTCCTAGGAACTCGCGTTTCGACATAGAGAAGAGCGTTCTATGTGCCGTTGGCTACATACGCCTCAGCTATGCTGAGAGTTAAATGAAAGCTTGGGCCAGTTGCTGTCCTTCTCTGTCTCCTCCTTTTTTGTGTTTGTCCTGTTTGCGCTGCTGACGCTGTTATGCCACTAGATCTTAAATTTGGGTGCCACACTTTTATTTCTCCCTCCTCCTGTGAAGATTTGACTAAGAGCTGAGTCCTCAAATAAAGAAATGTTATTATAAAAATGCATATAAAGCTGACAAATATGGTGATACGTTTTTTTAGGCTTGCAATAACCTTTCCGTTGTAATTGTAAGTTATAACGGTGTATAAAAACAGAGGTTCTCTATTTGTATCACCATTTAGATATGTTTAAACACAAAACTGTGAAGTGCCCCCCAAAAATTAGAAAAGCTTAGTTTCTAACTTACATTAAATTTACTTTATTTTTAACCTGTGTATCATACACATATTGTGCTTTAATTCTGAAACTTTGCTCTAACATGCCAGTTAAATGGTAGTCCTTTTCTTATGTAAATGCCTAAAAATGCCTTTTATAGAAGCATCTGTGCTGTCCTTCCTCAGTCAGAATGTGCTTCAAATCAAATACTCATTGTAAATGAACGCCACTATCGTTGTCTCTACACAAAATGAAGTGCCATATTTATGTAATTATACTTAACAACAAGCTAGAGCCGCTAAAATTTCAAAATACCTTTTTTGTTGCAAGAAGTGAAAGTGTGCAGTCAAGCTGGTTAGGGAACATCATAATCTAAACCGCGTGAGGCACAATGAAAAAATGAAACCTTTTTCTGTGTCTTAGGATTTAGATTATGACGTCATCTTTGTTGCCATTTTGGGGGGCATTTAAACTCAAGTTTTAACATACAAGTTCCAGGAAAAGTTTTTTTTTTTTTTAAAGTGCAATTATACAACTCGCGCACTGCATGGTCAACAATGCAAATAAAACAGGCATTTTCGTGTAGTTCCACGGGCCAACTCGGGAAGCTTAACAAAAACATTGAATGATAATAATATTTATTGAAGCTCGGGAAAGTCACGAGACACAAGAAAGGTCAAAAGGACACTGTGTGAAAACGATGCGGCTGAAAGGTACATTCGATACCATGTAGGTCTGTTGTGCCGTTGATACTAGGGTGGCAAATCATGATTTTGACAGATATTATCAGCAGGACGAGTGAAGGTGAAGCATGTGCATGTGCTACAGATGATCCCTTCAATCCTCTAAAATGTGCTTAAAAATATATAAAACTCAGTCACGACACTACGATCGTAAAAATGGGTGAATTATGCGCCCGCGAGCCATTTTTGTAATCTGTCTCCTTATTCTGAACTGGGTACTAATTAGAGCGCAGTTCTGATGCGGATCGTTTTCCAACGTATGAGAAGAATTGATATCTGTTACTTTGTTGACGACACCGTATATATAGATCAAGGTCACGTGATAATGTTAGAAACCGGCGACTACCTCAGTAGCGCATGACGCACCTTCCGTTTGCCGCGTTCACCAACGGCAACTCAGTGCGACTGCCGCAATCGATTGCAATACAGACCACACACACGCAAAAAGGAGCCAGATGCTACTTCTGCGGCGAGTCCTACCACCCCTCGGTGATGGTTACGTTGACATGTCACGGGGCAGATCGTGGCTGTCAACGAAGAGAAGACACGAAGAGCTGACATATCTGATGCCATCACTCAATACCGCGGCTGCACAGCACATTCCGTTAAACCCAGGGGCGGACGCAGGTGTTACCAGAGAGGGGGGAAAGGGTCAGCGTATCAGATGTTGAGAAACCCCCCCCCCCCCCACCCCCCGTTTTTTCCCCTCGTCCTAACATTTCAAACAGGGGTAATTAAAAAGGAGGGGAAAAGGTGTCAGGACATCCGGACCTACCCTCTGAATCCGCCAGTGATTACGCCTCATTCACACTTGCGGTTGAACCGCAATCGCAAAGCGGTTGCGGTTCAACCACCAGTGTGAATAAGTGCAGCTTCACTGCGCGTTTGAAGAGGTAAAAGAGCAGATCCGCTTTCCGGTTGCAATTCGAACGCCAGTGCGAATGCAGCATTAAAGCATTTTGCATAGTATTTTTTTTTTCTAGTGCCTATGGAACCTTGACGTTACTTTCCGATTCTTAGTGGGTATGGCCCGATTTTTTTCCTTTCGGTATGCGCGTCGATAATTATCGACGCGTCATTTTGACCTTTATGCAAACTCGGCACGTATAACGTACCGAGTTTGCATAAATAAATTACGTATAACGTAATCTATTAATTTTAACTTTGTTTTTGGTGTAGACCTTATAAGTCCTTGTTTTCACAAACATAGAACCGTTAATGTCACGTATTATTAAACCCGCATGCCCAGAACGCGCTCCACAGCCCATTAGACAATGATGGCAACGCGCAAACGGTGACTAATGGAATAGGCTATGCGAATTAACTAATTCGCATTAAGATATTGATATAGGCTGCTTAGACAATCATTACATGAACAAAGAACAGCCCGAAGGATAGGCAAATGTGTTTTCTTTTTATTTCTTCCTGTAATTTTATTAATACTATTGTTTAATACTGCGTTGTCTTTGGTCTATCCCATTCCTTTTATTTAGTCTTTTTCTTTCGTGTTTTTCGTCTTTTGTTGTTTGTGCTGTTGTTCTCGAGTCACTGGCGCATATCCAAGAAGGGGAGGGGCCAAAGACCGTCTTTTCATTATAAAGACTATCACTTCTTTCTTTTCTTCCAGGTGGAGCCCGACAGGCGTGAGCACCGTCGTGCTCCCAACTGTGGATAGGAGTGTCACTAGTCCAGTCGGGGGATCGGCGGCCTAGTGTGTTAGCTCACTATAGCTCGGAGTGCGTGGAGTGAAAAGCGCGTGCAGCATGAACCAGGGATCCTGGTTTCAGTCCGTACCCCTTCCCGCTTCGATCTGGATGAGCATCGTACCTGCGCGCGGCCCTGCATTACTGCAATTCGTGGTGCAAGACTGCAGGCTAGCAGTCGTACTGCATTAGCTAAATTCCTGATCGACAGTGGGTAACAATATCATCATACCCTGGTGGACCTAACTCCCGCTGTCTAAACAAGAAACGGCTAATTCCTTTTCATTTTCTTTTTCTTCACTAGTACCATCTACCTGTTCGTGTCCTTTTCTGTCTTGCGCGCTGTTTAATGCTCATTCGTGTTCCGCAGGTGCAAGTGGCCCGGCAGCCTGGTGACGCCCTACAACCAGGACTACGCACGGCGGTGCACGGGCCGCGAGAGGCTGAGCCGCTCCCAGGGCTACGAGCCCGAGCGACAGCTGCAGTTCGTGGGCGACGCCGTGCTGGCGTTCGCCTACGCGCTGCGCGACATGCACCGCTCGCTGTGCGGCGCCAACTACGTCGGCCTCTGCGATCGGATGGACCCCGTGGACGGCACCGAGCTGCTCGGGTTCCTGCAGGACGTCGAATTTACAGGTACAGGGAGACGCGTGGTGCTCGGGCGTCTGCTCTCCCTTAGCCTAACACTTTTTTTTCGTTTTTATTTTGTTTCAGGAGTTTTAATTTTCGGGAAATAGACTTGGAATGAGGAAATAAACGTTAAAGTTTCATAGGAACTGCTCAGCGTTTACGTCTGCAAGTTGTAACAGTTATTGATACAGCTGAAATATGTGTGGTGAATTTCATGAAGATCGATGTTAAACGTTTGTTACCAGACTCGCATTAAAATTAACAAAAATAGCGAAAATGCACGAACATCTTTTTGTGGAACGAATGCACCGCCTTTGGTTGCCAACGCAATGGATCCAAACTTTTGCCAGACAAGCACATATATTAATATCTTGGTCCCAAATAGTGCCCGTATCAGATATTAAGCTGATAAGAACACTTAGAGTTGGTTGAAAATCGTTACTTTTTTATTTCAGAATTTCGCGCATAGTTGTTTTCTAAAATTGTTAAATTACAAAAAAGAATTAGGTACAAAAAGTTAGTTTTCACATAGTTTTTATTGTCTGATAAATAATGTTAGTGCAAACAAGAGAGATTATTACGTATATACAAATTTGCAACTTCTGATTTTAGTAAACTATTGCTCAGTTTTAATTTAAGTCTGTCGGAAATAAAACAAACATAATAGCAGATTCCTTTTGAGTTTATATGGCTGCTTTTGCCATTTGTTGAGTTATAAACCTTGATCAACGAACAACATCTTCAAAAAAATTTTTATGGTGTTTTTTTTTATTTTTTTAACGTTTTATGCAAGAAATATGACTATTTCTCCTGTAGAAGTCGCGAGCTTGCATACATTTGAGCTTAGTTTGGGTTCCGGTATCTAACAATTTCTTGGTCCGTTAAAGTAATGCGACAAAACGTCCTTAAAAGTGAAGTTTATTTGATATAATATTGAAAAGATTACATTTTTTTCATGTTATTATCGCAACTTCACATAGTCGCACGGTCATCGGACACGCATGCTTTGAAACACTATCATTAGCAATACGTTGCAGGATCCTTTAACATAAGTTCAAGATACTCTAATTCAGATGTAAGTCCCAGGTACTGAAATACCAAAAAAAAATTTCTTAATACAATAAGTACAAGTCCACTATCACATCTCGTTCATCTGATACTCAGGCGCTTGATAAATTCGTCGTATACACCGCGAACCAGCGCCACCCTATCTCGAGGACGTACGTATATCGCGCCGTATAAACAATTAAATTCAAATTTGCTTTCGTTCGTTTTTTTTTTTCCTGGTGAATTTTAGCGAAGTCTCCTTGCGAACATGTCTTCGAGCCTGGACAAAACACGCAAGGACAGGGACAGGATATCGTACTCAACATGCGAACATCTCCGAGACCGCAGCTGTTTAATAATTCTGATCGAGCGCGCTTTCAAATGTCCGAAACCATCCGCAAAAAAAAAAAAAAAAAGAAAAAGAATGTTTGTTCGACGAGAGCGCTTGGGACGGCCGTGTCCGAGAACAGGACCATCGGTCCAGACTTTCTTCCGAAGACTAATGATGATGGCATCCGTGTCTGCCGGTGCCTCTTTATGCAATAAATGCCTGGCGAGACCATTACGATTCCGCCGGTATCGATCGACTCGCGAGACGTGCTATCAACTGTGAGACTCCCCGTTGAGCGTTCGGTACCTGCATTAATGAATCCGTAAACCGGGTGTTACATCACCCTGGGCGTAGTAGGATACGGTCGTAGCCACACGTAAAAGCAAATCTAGCCCTGCCGCATCTGTAAAAAACACCCTCTCCCCCTCCCTCTCCCTTCCTCAATTTTTATGTTTTTTTTTTTATTTTGATAAGTTATATGATGTGGTTTCTTGATGTGATGCACATGATGTATCGTGTTTGCTCATGCGTAGTGTGATTGTGTTATAATTATATATGGTTCGCTATAAATTGCTTCGGGTGGTTTCAGATCCGTTGCACGCATGCACGGAAACATCAATGAGCTCCCTGTGTTTATCAGAATGATCAAGATAAGATTAAGTTTATTGGAAACCTGTGACAGAGCTATGCTTCGTCATTTCGAAGACAGCTGCTGGCGCCGTCAGTCGCCTCAGGCTCTGTCGAGTCATACTTTGCTTAGCTGCTGGCGTTCCCGTTTGTCTCTTTCCAGAACCCCTTAGAAAGAGTTTAGCCAAGGGGCGGGATCTTGCCGAACGCTAAAACGAGTGGTCTCCGCGAAGCCACAAGATGGAGATATTTGCTTTGGGCCGCTCCACTTTGCCTGCGCTAATCCACATCTGCGGTCAGAACTTATATTATACACACAATTTCATCTACAAGGAAAATCTATGCGCCTGCAATTGATCACTGTATCAAAGCACCGGTCATCCTTTTTTGGTCTTCCAAAGGAAGGGGCCTAGAAGTAAGCTTTATTGATTGGTTTTAAACAATTCTTTCTCAAACAAAAAGGCGCCAGGCACTATAATTTTAAAATAGTGTAGCAGCTAAGTTTCAGCAGTTGATTGCGTTTACAGCGCCAAAGACGCTTTTAACGGGAATCCTTTCAATATGATGACTCGCCGACGCATTCTTGGCGTCCCTAATTCAAAGTGGATCCGAAATTCGATACGTCAAGATGGTGGGCGCAAAATGTCTTCTCCTAAATTCCAACAATATGGAATGTTAAAAAAAGAGCACCTCTTTTAGTGTAAAGGGTTTTGTCTCGTCCTAGTGGAGCCCAATAAGAAAAAAAATCGTTCTAGTTACGCCGAGCAAAGGCGTCGGGTTGCGGATCGCACGGTCCGGGGTTCGATTCCCGTGCTGCCCCACTTGGTAAACCTCACTGACTATGAACAAGTATGCTATAAATATGGCCAAGCACGCTTATATGTGCTTTGCGTTTTTACGCAATATGTGTGCTTTATGTTTCCTGACCTGGCGCTGCGGAAAGCGGGCTCATTGGGCGCGTGCTCAATTCATGCTTCGATCTGACGGCGCGAGCTCCAACAAGCAAACCGAAGCTCTAGCGCACGATCTACTAAATGTCCTTAAAGGAGCAATGCAACAATTTTTGTACTTTGCACAAATACCGCGTAAAACAGATCCCTAACGTTAATGACCTATGAAACACGCGTTCGTTTTTCACCTCACGCAATAGAAGTCCCAGAAAAAAATTTAAGAAAAACGAGCAGCATTCACCCCCTCAACTCGCAGCCAGAACAAGCGGCCACGTGATCTGGAGCCGATTATATGCCGCCAATGTTGATCACAGCCACGCGCTGGGGTTGGCAAAGCGCAGGACACGCGCTGAGTTCCAGACATTGTTATGGCTCGGCTATTGTCGTCGCTGCAGCGATTGGACACGGGTTACAACCCGAATGCTCCTCGAGATAGCAATTGTCACGAGCCCAAGTCGAGTGCCCACGCAATGCTCGGGTCCAATCTATGAGCCGCATTCAAATATCGTCACTTGGGTGTACTGCGATCCCCGAGTTACGTCATCGAATTTTGCGAAGGAGAGATTGAATGAAAATGATCGCTTTTGTCCTTGAAATTACACCGCAACAAAGACGTTTCTTGGCCAGTGGCGTTGCGTGTGAGTATCCTTGAGTCCCAGGTGTGCCAGTAAGCTCGTGTATAGAGAAAAACATTCCAATTGAATATCGTTGCACAGCTCCTTTAAAGGAGCTGTGCAACGATATTCAATTGGAATGTTTTTCTCTCTACACGAGCTTAATGGCACACCTGGGACTCAAGGATACTCACACGCAACGCCATTGTCAAAGAAACTCCTTTGTTGCGGTGTAATTTCATGGACAAAAGCGATCATTTTCATTCAATCTCTCCTTTGCAAAATTTGATGACGTAACTCGGGGATCGCAGTACACCCAAGTGACGATATTTGAATGCGGTTCATAGATTGGACCCGAGCATTGCGTGGGCACTCGACTGGGGTTCGTGACAATTGCTAGCTCGAGGAGCATTCGGGTTGTGAGCCGTGTCCAATCGCTGCAACGATGACAACAGCCGAGCCATAACAACGTCTGGAACTCAGCGCGTGTCCTGCGCTTTGCCAACCCCAGCGCGTGGCTATGATCAACACTGGCGGCATATAATCGGCTCCAGATCACGTGGCCGCTTGTTCTGGGTGCGAGTTGAGGGGGTGAACGCTGCTCGTTTTTCTTTAATTTTTTTCTGGGACTTCTATTGCGTGGGGTGAAAAACGAACGCCTGTTTCATAGGTCATTAACGTTAGGGATCCGTTTTAAGCGGTATTTGCGCAAAGTACAAAAATTGTTGCATCGCTCCTTTAACTCTTCGTAAGCGATGGCTAGGAACTCTTGCAAACTATACTGCCGCTGAAACAAAACATAACAAGCAGAAATCGTCCGCTGGGATGGCTGAAAACGCAGCAGAAAAACACGGGGAGAGAAGGGGCCGTACGAGCAAGTATTCTCCTTGAGTACGAAAATGACGTCGAACGCAATGTTGCGTGACAAACAGTCAACCTGATGAATGCCTGCTTTTTAAGCTGACGGTAGCAATTTTAATGACGGTTATAAAGTGGTTCCCGGTGTCTCATTAGTGTAATGCTTTGACAGGGCGCGTATTTAGTCTCCAGAAATCGATAAAAGTAATTTATCTTGCTTAGACTTTTGACCGGAGTTACCCTTTTATCACTATCACAAATGACGTCGAAGACGAGAGCGCTGAAGTAGAAAGAGGGCTTCGTAATGGGAATTTTTAAGGCAACTGGAACACATTCTCATTAGTGGAACTGGAAATTCGCGAGTCGGCATACCTTTTGCTACTGACCGCTATTTTTTGCTTCTCCTCAGCGCAGCTGGATACGTAGGCAAACAACTCTTTCAAAGTGAGAGAATCTACGCGCGCTTTGCGTGTCTGAACCGCGCCCTGCTGTAATCCCGACCTACCGAGAGAATGGCTCCCTATGAAAGACGCTGTCGCTGGTGATGTGCGCCGCGTCGCCGTGGGGGCGTCAGTGAAGGCTTTTCTGCGTTCACCTGCAGACTGTCTCGCGCACGGTCCGCACGGCGCACCGACCTGCTGGTAATGCCTGTTTCTCGGGAACACCTACCGTAACGTGGCGCCAGCAGGCTACAGTAGCAGTAGCACGTAGTAGGGCGCATCGCTCTCATAAATCGAAAGAGCGCGTTTCTCAGACACGAAAGCGCAAGGGCGTTGTTTTAGCTCCCACTGCACTTGTACCATCGTCGAAAAAAGGCGCGTTCTCAGATCACCCATAAATAGCCACTGTGCCGGCAGCCGGCGACTCTAGTGACGAACCTGCCACGCGATCACCGATGCTGTGAGGCCCCCGAGGAGAGCAGGTCAGGGCCAGATAAAGCCGCCGCGCATTGCGCGACTTCGATTGGTATGCGTTTACCCTGGGAAACAAAATCAACAACAAGAAAACTTTATGCAGCGCCTCGAAATCATAGCGTGACGAAACGCTGCGGGGCCGCGGCCATGTACTACAAGGTGCGTGCTGGCACATTCTTCTGTAGGCAGGTCTGAACAAACCAGACTTTAATGGCTTTCGTGTTTACGTCTGTCAGAAGACAGAATACTCTTATTGAATCTAATTTAGCTTGTTCGTCAAGAGCCGTCTGGTAATCTTAGCATCGGTTCTTAGTGCCTTTTTTGTATCTCATCTAATTTTCTGTTAGTCGTGTAACAATAATAATAAGAATATTGATCTGTTTTATTTTCTGTCAAGAAGTGTATAAAAAAAACAATTAGGGCGCAGGCGAACTGGTGTAAGTTTACCATTTTTGACCACCTGAGACTGGGTGGAAGAAACACGACGACGTCTCAATAGTTCCCTTTTCTTGTGCATCTTCGTTCCCTTTTGAGACGTCGTCGTATTTCTTCCACCCAGTCTCAGGTGGTCAAAAATGGTAAAAAGAAGTGTATGGCGGAGGGAAACCTAGGAAAAAAGCTGCATGATGCAACTTGACTAGCTCTCGATCCCCCATCTTTACATTTGGCAGCGGTGGCACAGAAAACAGAACAAAAAGACAAATATTCGCGTAAACGAATATTCACAGAAAAATAGTACATACAGGCAAAACACAGTTCAATACAACGAAGTAAGGCAACACATTTACGGTAACATTGTTTCAAATGTAAATATTGTACATTTGCTACACAGTCTTACTTAAAACAAAATGCTCCAAGGTTTTTAAATGACGAGGTACGGAGGTGGATGTTTTCGGTGCGAAGTAAGTTGAGTAGCTTAGGTACTGTAGTTTATATCATTTGCTCGCCATAGTTCTTTTGTTTTTTTACATAAATTTGGAGCATCCAGTATTCCGTGTTCCGGGTGAAATCTGCGGTCACTCTTGATGTTAGGGATGCGAGTTCCATAAATATATGAGCATTTTTTTTCTGCATGTGATTTATAAGTTACACCAAGTTGGTATTGATACAGGCAATACACAGGCATGTGACACAGGCTCTAAAAAAAGACGCACTAGGATCGTCAAATAAGACAGTACAAATGTTTTCGCAACATTTCTTTTTTTTTCTTTTTTTGAAGGACATGCATTTTAGTGAGATGTGCATTTGTTCTATTTTCTCAAAATAGACGGCAATAGTTCACATGGGAAAGAAATAATGAATTATAGACTAGTAATTTCATATGTTTCAACCAAATCATTACCCAGGGGCGTCCGTCCCTTTAAGTCATACGTGGAGTAACGCAAGACATTCGATAGTGTACTGTATATGGCAAGGTGCATCCTCCTGAGGTCCACGTGTGGACTCCACCAACGCAGGGCTGAGCGGCGAGACGTTCCGCTTCTCGGAGCACGGCGATGGCCCCGCGCGCTACAACATCCTGCACTTCAAGCAGGTGCGGCGGGGCGACTACCGGTGGGTGCCGGTGGGCGACTACAGAGACGGCTCCCTGCGACTGGACATGAGCCAGCTCCAGTTCCGTCTAGACGACCCCGCCATGCCGCGCTCCGTGTGCAGCGAGCCCTGCCCCCGCGGCTGGGCGACGCGACTTGTCGAGGGCGAGTCCTGCTGCTGGCACTGCCTGCGCTGCACCGACTACCAGTTCCTGGTGTCCGGCGGCTGCGCCGAGTGTGCTCCGGGCACGTTGCCGGACCCGTTCCACGAGCGCTGCTTGCCGGTCCCGGAGTCGCACATGAGCCCTGGCTCTCCCTGGGCCGCCGCCGCCCTCGCCCTGGCGTCGCTGGGCGCGCTGGCGGCCCTGGCCGTGCTCGCTGTGTTCCTGGCCTACAGGGACACGCCCGTGGTCAGGGCCTCAGGCCGCGAACTAAGCTGCGTGCTGCTGGCGGGCATCTTGCTCTGCCACGGCACGGCGCTGCTGCTGGTTCAGAGGCCCAGCGCCGCTGTGTGCGGTGCGCAGCGGGCCGCGCTGGGCCTCTGCTTCGCCGTGGTGTACTCGGCCATCCTGGCCAAGACGGACAGGATCGCGCGCATCTTCCGGGCGGGGCGCCGCAGCGCCCAGCGACCAGGCTGCATCTCGCCGCGATCCCAGCTGGCGCTCTGCGGGGCCCTGGTGTCCGTGCAGGGGCTCGTGGCCGCGCTCTGGCTGGCGCTGAGGCCGCCCCGCGCTGTGCACCACCACCCGACGCGCGAGGACAACCAGCTCGTCTGCCTGGCGTCCGTGCAGCGAGCTGGCTACGCGCTGGCGCTCGCCTACCCGCTCTGCCTGGTGGCCGTGTGCACGGTGTACGCCGTGCTCACGCGCAAGATTCCGGAGGCCTTCAACGAGTCTAAGTACATCGGATTCGCGATGTACACGACCTGCGTCATCTGGCTGGCCTTCCTGCCCATCTACCTGACCACCTGGCGCCACGTGAACCTCAACCTGACCAGCATGGCCGTGGCCGTGAGCCTGAGCGCCAGCGTGACGCTGGCCTGCCTCTTCGTGCCCAAGTTGTACATCATTCTCCTTCATCCGGAGAAGAACGTGCGGCAATCCATCATGGCCAAGTACGGCACGCTCAAGAATCAGCAGCAGCACCGCGTCGAGTCCGCCACGCAGTCGGACGGTGCGTGCTTCCTCTTGTCTTACTGGCGGGCATCGCGTACAAAGTTTACACCGGCATAGTTTTACCTACCATAGAAGTGTATCAGCAAGACCACGATGACTCCATGTGACTTTACCCGTTACGACGTTTTAATGGCTAATCGATGTAGAAAAAAAGACTTTGGACAGAACAAGCTATGTTGTTGTCTAAATAAGCGATTAGCTGCAAACACAAATGAAAGAACCGCGGCCGGTCACATGTAAGTTTACCCGCTAAATTTAGCCGATGAACTGAATTTGTGTGTAGGTAACGTGACATCATGTGACGCAATTTTCACCGCTACGTTTAGCTGGGAAATCGGATTAACCTCAACTTCACGTAACGTCAAAAAAAATTGTTTTTCTGCTGACGTTTTGAGGGGAATTTGAATTTATATATAGGTCTCGTGACATCGTATCACAGTGATGTCAATTTTTCGCTAAACTTAACGGGGAAATTAAATTTGTGTATACCTCACTTGACATGAAGTTATATAACGTCATTTCCCCGCTAAATATAGCGGGGAAACTGAATTGGTGTTGAGGTAATGTGACGTAAATTTTCCGCTAAATCCAGTGGCGAAACAGAATTTGTTTATATGTCACCTGACATAAAGTCGTGACATCATTTTCCCCGCTTAAGTTAACGGGGAAAATGAACGGCCAGGAAGAGTTGCTTAAAGATCATAGAAAAACTATTGGCTTCAATAAACATTTTGAAAGCTAATCTTTTTAATAGTCACTTTAATAGTCGTTTCAAAAGCTAATTGCTTTAACAATGGTTTGAAAGGTAATCGAATTACTAATCGTTTTAGAAGAAAGCAACTCACTTTCGAAAGAGGGTGGATCGGAACGTTGAAAGACACCTCAAGGTGTGCCCTCACATTTGAACATACACCATTTAATGCTACGTTGTTTGCGTCAAGACCATCACCGCGTAAAAATAAAGTAATTTAAGTCGCGAAATATTCGTAGCATGAACCAGCCATCTTCACCCCGATCGGGCCGCACGCGAACAGCGCTGGAGCAGGAGGGTGGATTGACAAGTGGCTTCTTCCGTTCTTTTGTCTTCGCAGTGGACTACGAGATGAGTGACAAGCAGCGGTCCGCCTGTTCGTTAGTGTCCACAAACAGCCGAGCCAGCTGTGCCACGCAAACCGACGACCAGGACTCCGCCCTGTGGGACAAGGACGTTCAGCTCTGACCGGGGGGGTCAGCATCGACACGCACGAGAGACAGCAGCATCGGCGACGACTAGCGGGCGCCTCTTCCTGCTTCGAGTGGACCATTGAGCCAAGACCCAAAGGGTCCCGGAACCCCGTTCCGGGGTCCCAACCCCAGCGGACCAAGTGTGTTGGCCGCCCTTTGCCCAAACAAACGGACGAGAACGCCGACGCCGAGCGCCCCCGACGTGGGACTCCCGGCACGCTCTGTGATCACTGCCGCGCAGATATTCTTTTCTCTATTTCTACATCAATCTATATACACACGAGCGTATACAAGCGTCTGCCGTACTCACACTGCGCCGTCATATCGTCTCTTGGATCGTTGGTGCGCTTATACACCGAAACCTTGTGAATAAAGGAGAGCTCTCTTTTTTTGCCACACGCGGCCCGTGAGTGTACACGTGCGCAGATGGCGCGTGCCATTTGCTCGCTCGCTATTTGTCGTTCAGAAACGGCGTGGTGCGCGTGACTGTGTTTACTCCGTCTTCGCTATTTCGAGCCTACCTTTCAAGAACTTGTGCCTCCTGGATGGATATACTGCGGTTGTTAATCTGACGATATATTAATGCGCCCAAGTGGTCTGGCTCAACAGGAGAAAATCGGAATAGTACTACATGTTAGAGCACTGCACGGGTCAGAATTTCTAGGCCTAGCCTGACCGCCCCGATAGGGGCACGGCCTGGGCCCGGCCCGAGCCGGATAGAATATTTATTTTTGTAGGCCTGGCCCGGACCCGTCCCAGAAGAGACACTGCCCGGGCCCGCCCCGGGCCTGGCAGAATTTTAGACCGAAGCTTGAGCCCGGCCCGAGCCTGGCAAGTTGTTTTAGAGCGCAGCTTCGTTTCCGGCTTGGGCGCCGCCGGCGTCGGCGTAACCGTCAGGTCACGTGACTTTCGTGACGCCGCGGGGGCCACGTGACCTCACGGGGTTCACGTGACCTCACGGGGGGGGGGGAGAGGAGGAGGAGGAGGGGAGGAGTAACAGGCAGGATGACGAGGTGAGGAGAAGGAAGGAGGCGTATACCCTCCCCTCAGTACCCTTCCATCCTCCTCCTCAAGAGCTGCGCTCTAATTCGGCGTTACAGAGTTTAAACGGCTTTTTTTTTAAATATAAGCCTGAGCTCCGCCTCAGCCCGACAGATATTACACATAAGCCCGAAGTTCACAGACGATAACCTATAAACTTTGTAAGCATAAAGCGAGTATATTTGCTTTAAATTTATTTTAAAGTTCAATCTATTTTTTTACACAGTAAGTATTTTTATTTTGACGATGCATTTTTGAGAATATGGGTGAAATATGCACGTCATAATTACTTCTCAGAAAAAAGAAGTGGGCAATATTTTATTTACTGTATGCATTTCTTGAAGAGATATTGGACTTTTCGTTGTTCAATTCGTTTTACAGAGAACTTTCCTCTACGTGTTTTGTGAAAAAAACAATCACAATCCCGCTAGTGCATCTTCAAAAGGCTGTATAAGCATAAAATTATCTATGGTAGTTAGCTTATCTTTGGTGGCATAGTAAGGCCCCCTCCACAAAGTGAAAAATCAAGCTCACGTTTTTTTTGTTTTTTTTTTGTTTAAGTTTGAAAAGCAGAAGAAAAAGACATTCATGCAGTACCCTGCGACTGGAGTGCCCTCGTTTTCCTGACCGTACATTCCCACTATGCTGGTGGAAAAAAAATGCCTTGCATTGTATGTCTATACAGCCTTGATGGTAGTAAGCCTCAACCGGTGATCGGTCTCTTAGCCGTAGATGAAAAATTTAGCGAGTGCAGTACGACCACTAACCGTACGTTCCCTTTTATTCACGTGAAGGCTTTCCAAGTGCAAAAGGACTTATTTGATTTTTTTTCTTAACGACATCGTGGTGATTTTTCATTTTGCTTGTTTGTTTTCATTGAACCTAAACTATCACTGAGTACACTTTTTATTATCAACTATCTAGAATTTGCGGCGCACGACTGCCCAACCATGGCCCGGGCCGGCGCGGGCCGACACGGCCCTAAAAATATTTTGTTTAAGCCCGAGCCCGGCGCGAGCCTCAGAAAATGCGTGTTACCCGGCCCGAGCCCAGCCCGCGGGCCGGGCCGGGTTCGGGCCTTCGGGCTGGGCCGGCCGGGCCATGCAGTGCTCTGCTACATATCTTACCACAATAACCATAGTGTTTTTGAGCATATGTAATTTTCTTCTTTCGAGATTTCGTGTCATTGTTGCATAGTGACAAAGCTAAATACAACATTGTAAAACCGGAGACGTAGGACAAAAGGAGAATAAAAAAGGGGACAACACAACAGGGGACGACACAGACACAGGTTGAGACCTGTGTCTGTGTTTCCCCCTTTTTTCTTCTCCTTTTGTCCTACGTCTCGGGTTTTACAGTGTTGAAAGTTCATCAGCTCGCTTGCATCTTTTCTGTAATTTCTAAGCGAAATACGTTTTGTTCAAGAAAAAGAAAAGTGAGAAGAAGAATTACTTGTTTATGTGAGCAGCCGAAGAAGCCTAGACCAGCAACTGCCAGTTCATTAGGATGGTGCTTTTAGTTATACTTCGTTTCACCCTAACTCCAGATGCAGCCGACGCTACGAGCTGATGTGACCAATCAGACAGCATCAAGAGCGCACTATCATGCATTTGCTCATGTTTCTGTGCGTGTTTTAGAATTGCTTAACCAATCATAAACAGTAAAGGCCCAGTGCTTTCCCCTTTTGACGCTGTTTGATTGGTCTCATTAGCTCGTAGAGTCTTCTACGCCTAGTCATTCATGCAGTGTTGGCTGTAAAGCGTTATAAGTAACGGCATTACCGGTAACGCGTTGGTTTTCTTGGAAACGTAGTAACGTACTTGTTTTTTTTATAAACAGTAACGCGTGACGAACTTAACTTACTTATTTGAAGTAACGGGTAACGCAGTTACGTTGCTCCTTACTTTTTCTTCCCAAGACTTAAAGATATTGCACAGAAGTTTTTTTCGTGTTTTATGAATTATGAATTTTCGAGTTCTTTCCGTTTCTTTTTGAGTTTTTTTCTCGTGAGTATTTAGGTGAAATTGTAAGGAAGATAAAGTAATTATGTTCGGTTTCAGCTTGAACTTAATGTTTCTTGGAATATGGCGCTTCTGCATACCTGTAACGCCGAAAATAGTAAAACGTGTTAACTCATAATTTAGAAAAGTAAGGCGAAAGTAACGTGCGTTACTTTTGATCGGTATCGGTAACGCGTACTCCTTTTCTTCTTAGTTAACGTAGGTCAGTAAAGCGTTCTTTTAATTGGCAAGTAACGAGTAATGTAATTCTTTACTTTTTTTTCGATAACGCCTACAACACTGCATTTATGTCACTAGAGACGCCAATGACGACCTCACACAGGGTCGCTTGGGTTAGGGCGTCTCAATGTCCTTCTTTTTAGGGTGATACCATTATTTCTAGTACCCAATGCCGACAGCACGCGTTCATGAAAAAAAATACCAAGAATAGCAGGTAAGAAGCTGCCGTCATAGCACAGTCAATAGAGAGTTTTAATATAGGAGCCCCCCAGGCACGTAGCCAGAATTTTGTTTCGGGGTGGGGGGGAGGGGGGGGGGTGGGGGGGCCGCCCATGACAGAATGCTGTATGAGGGGGAGGGGGAGTGGAGGTCCCAGCAAAACGGAAGATTTTTTTTTTTTTTGGGGGGGGGGGGGCAGGCCCCATGGGCCTCCCCCCTGGCTACGTGCCTGGAGCCCCCCCCCCCCCCCCCCCAAGCAGTTTGGGGCGCTGAACCGCGCTTGCGCAGAAGGACTCCTTATGCACTGTGCGACACCCCAAGCCGCCGGGGGGAACCCCAAGTCTTGGAGCCCCGTATTCTAAAACTCCCTAATGCCAGAACCATGTGCCGTGAGACGCTCTTTCACGCGATCCGGAACAAAAATAACCTTTTCCGGACTCACACTAGAAACAAAATCGCTGGTCTTCTATTAATTCGTATGATGAGAAAACGACGTCTCGTTTAAAGACATCTTGGCCCTTCTTCGAGTGTCTTGGGCCCGCTTCAAACGGCGAAAGTTTCCCAGCCATTACGTAGTTGTTGGCGAAGTTAAAGCAAGTAGGCAGGCGAGCTGGTTAAGGATCGACATGGCAACCTTTGAGAGAGATGTTATCTAGATCCCCGAGCTCAAATACGAATTACACAGCTCGGGCTACGCCACCTATTGGCGGTGACAGGTTAAGGCTAAAGTGCTATCTTTTCCCACCTCTATCCACTTGAGCAGAGCGAGCGCTGGAAAGCAGGTTGCCTCCCCTCCAGCGTTCGCTGTACTACCTTCGACCTTACCCTCATCCTGTAAACAGGTGGTGTTGGTTCAGGTCCGCATAAAAAGGGGCCGGCAGCTCGAACAATTCGGAAGCTTCTCAAGCGGCATTTCCATGCAATATTTCCACGTGACCCTACCGGTATGGTATACTGATAATGAAAACTTAACACGGGGTATAAAATTCCATTCTAGATTGCAATAGATCGTTTCCGCGGCGAAATACTTTCGGGAAGATAAGCCAACGTTCTCAGCGCCATTTAAACACATACAAAAGAATAACGCTCTGTTCGATTCAAGGCCAGACGCTGGGAAAATGGTTCAGTCAGAAGCTGACCTCGAGAAAACGTCTCCGCTGACGTTGGTTCCTTTTCAGCTTCTTTTCTACCCTGCTCGAATTCTTAGCTCTATTGTTTTAATTTAAGTGGCACAAACAGCAACGAGGTCCAAAGACATCGCACTGCACCGGTGACGCAGGCACGCAGTCGCGAAAACGAGTTTCCCGGCCCTCTTGGCCAACGTGACTGCACGGCCATTGACGTTCGACATCACTCGCTAAGCTCGATAAAGGAAAAAAAAAGTTCCATCCTTTTCACTCTCGTGAAAAAGGAAGACCAGCGGAGCTGTACTCGACATACTGCCGCAACGCGCACGCGCCCGTTTCCCGCTTCTTCTCGTCCAACACGTCGCCGGTCGTGGATACGTCTCCGGCGACCCAGAGTCGGACGCACACGGCGCACGTGACTCCAAACGGGTAATCCACGAACTCCCTCCGGAACATCGCCGTCGTGCCCGGGAGCTGTTCAGCCGGCAAGGGGTGCAGTCGTCGCCGATCCTCGCGCTTGCTCTTGGCCTCCGTGGCACGATCGTCGTCCGTGGCGTTGGCACGCCGGCGCCCTTTACGTCGCTGGTTCTGTTCTCGGCGGCGGCTTTCCAGGCGAGCGATGTGCTCTTCTTTGGCAAGGGAATCGGAGGCGCTCGACGCAGTGGAAGTCGAGGCGACAGCGGCTTTGCGGCGGTTACGGACCCACTCGCGCTGCTGCGTACGTCGCTGCTCCTTCCGCAGCTAGTCTTCTTTCCCCGAAAGGACA